TTAGTCTCACTCGTTCATCAGTTTTTATAGCAGTTTGAAGTCGGAATTTTGATGATAATTTTCCTGTATACGATTGGATAGGAACCACAACAAAAACAGCTGCTATTCCCAGTATGCCAGCGTAACCAGCTTCGACGTATAAAAAATATCCAATTATCAGTGCTGCAAGTGGGGGCAGACCACATGTGATGAATGAATACTGATACCAAATCGAATCGATTGACATCATTAGCGATTAAATTTACAACTTTACCAGGTGCTGTGTCGCCAAAAGCAGTTGTGCTTAATCTTAGCGCCTGAAATGTTTACTTGTATTAATGGGATTAATTAAATGCTGTTATCTATAATAATTCTCTTTACAAGTGGAACTTAAAAATGAAATTTAACTTGCAGGAAAATTACTGTATTTTTCAAAACAATATAGATTTTCATTATATAAAAGAATGCTTAAGTATTTAATTTATTTTCAGTCATTAATGGAGTTTATTGAATTTAAGTTGAAATGGAAATTTTTGTTTAATATGAAAATTCTATTTTTATTGAATCAAGTATTTTTATTAATGACTGTCATTACAAAATAGATAGCAGTTAAGTATTTACATAAATCTACTTAAAGCAATTCCAAGAAAGTTTTAATTAATTTTAAAAACAATATAAATTATTTTTCTTAAGAATAAAAAATGATATTAGTACTTGAAATTCTTTTTCTATTTATAAATGAAATAAAATACACAAGTCATGTGACCGTCTCATTATACAGAACCACTATCAGAGTGTCTGTGGCTTTTGAAGTATCATTTTATACCAAGAAATAGAATAATAGAATCGTTCATTACCTTGCGATAAACTACTGAACAAACAGCTATTCTTATTTTACCACCCAGGTAGAATGCTCCGAAAATTGATTGGTTAATGGTAATTGCATTGATTCCTGTTGCTAGACAAATACCTCCTGCATACATCAGCGCATCATTGTAAGTCACTCCACCACTTTCTCGAAAATATCTCAGAAGTCTTCCTAAAAGAATGGGGGTTCCTAACCTGGAATAAGAATTTCTTTAACAAACTATTGGAGATTAATATCCAATGATATAAAAATGGGATGATCACAATAAGAACAGTACTGAGATGTAAAATATTCTTACGTTTGTTAGATTAAAACAGATTAGAGATTAAAGATTAAGTTAATTTTGGTTTGTTTAGAGCAATGAGAAAAATAATGCAGAGTATCAACATGGATTTAGAGCTTCTCTCATCTGCTCTTATTGGAACCATAGCGGAACCATTTGTTTCCCAAAATATGAAGCTAGTTGAATTAGAGAAAATGGTTACGTTTAAAAATTTTTTACATTAATTTTCTGAAAATATTTCAACACTGGTCTACATGAAATTTTCATTTTCTACTTGCGGTCTCTTATCATTGTTATATAAACATTACTTTTAAAAGCTAGATAGCTGTCTCTTTGATAAAGTAATAATCAGTTGAATATGTTAATTGATAATTTTATTCATCAACTTACCTCAAAATGAATTCATTGAATGTATGAAGAACGCCATAGATAAAGTATTCCCACATAAAACACCGGAAAATTGTTGTTAAAAAATTCGGCCTCTTTTTTGACTTCTTCTTAGATTCTAATTCCAGGAACCATTGTCTAAAAACAGAGATTAAAATTCACTTTTGCAATTATTCATTTGTTAAACTAATTAATGACTAATGACTTACTTCTCCAGTCGATCGCCAAGAACTCCAGATCGATCAGTTTTCAATGGGTCAAACAGATCGGCAGGACCTAGAATTTTCGAGTATCCAGTTCTGAATAACTTAAGTGTCCAAGTCCAGAATAACACTGATAAAATGTTTGACTTCTCTCGGGGATTTGGATGAACTTTTGCCTTGCTTGCGTCCATGGTAATATTGAACTGGACATTAGCTCCACAGGTAATTGATCCAAAATGATCTCTAAGTACCTGCTGATGATGGATTTATCTTGACGTGGTTATTGCATAACATATGTAAGTACACTGAACATAAAAATAAGTACACTTTCACTTTTGATGTTGCTTGGAATAATATTGAAGATCACAATTATTTGGTATCTTATTAGGTAATTTGGAAACTGATGAAATAGTTGAATACTCTTTCTGAAATTTTTTCTAACTGTGAATGTATGTAAGGCTGACTAGTGTGTGATTGTCACTTGGCATTCCATTAGATATTCAAATCTGAAATGTTAAAGAAACAATTCATTGAGTTGTTTCTGATAAACAAGTTAATCAATTATTACTCATTAATTTTTAATTCATCATTTAAATAACTTGTTTATTGAAGGACTTGATGTTAGCGTGTAGTTGAAAAATAATGAATCATCTTCAAAGTGAAATAACGAATTTTTAAAATTGAATTTGATAGATATGATGAAATATCTTTAGTGCCTTTCTATATCATCCAATAATATCATTAGGATATCATAAAATCATTATTTAATTTAATAGCTGACACTAATCATTTTTTGTTGCAATTAATGTAAGTTAATGAATGGAATTAAACTTGAAACAATTTTTTTTTTAGGAATAGCAGAAGGATGTCATTATTTTTGTCACATCGTTCAGAAGCTTGAAAAAATTTTAGCCCTAGACTGGTCCCTTTATACGGAAATTCCTGCAACTCATCATCTTTTATTTTTTAAAGACAAACTTTTTTTCGAAAGGCATTGCAAAAATTTGTCTTTCCTTCTACAACGTTTTGAAAACAACTGACGTATTTAAAAAATTTATTTAAGGTAGTAACTATTAATGAAAAACTAATTCATAAACGTGTTTTTAATCCGTATTCCTATCAAAACGAGGATTGCGAGCAGCTTATTGCCTGCAGCATAGGCATTAATTATAAGTCAATAGAATTTATCTTAAACTATACAGAAACGTAGTTTCGAAAATGGCATTACAGCAAATTCCTATACGGATGACCAGTACTGCGATAATTAATTATGTGATTCGTCTGGGTTTAAAAATTTATAATTTGAAATTTTAGAGCGTAAAAGGATATTTAGAGATATTATAAAAAAGAATCAATGTCTGAATTAATTGATTTTTAGATATTTTAGGAAGTTGTAATTTTTATTCATAAGGATCGCAAAAAAGATGCAATAATTGGTACCATGTCATGTAAAAGCTTGAAGTGAGTTTTAAGTAAGAAAAATCTATGAATGACTCATTAATATTTTCATAGCATGATTGATTTTAATTAACATTTCAAACTAATATTAAAATTACAAAACAAATATACAATATTTACTCAATGATGACAAATGATTTTCAGTTATTTTTTTGCCATATTGATGTATCTGTAGATAACTCAATATATGATAAGTATAAATCATAATGTCATTCAAATTATGATAAAGAATAACGTTGATAAATATTGTATATATGCATTAAGTAATATGTTCTAAAGAGAATGTACTTTATATAGAGAAGCAAAGGAATAATCTTCAATGTACTGTTATTTTAGTGTTGATTTTCAAACGATCTTGGATCATTTATGTGAGACTTTTAGTGCTGGTAATAGTTATTTAACTGCGTAGAGGAAGATTGCATACTCGATTACACTGTCTATCATCAACAGCCATAGAACAATGCAAGTATTCGTCTAATAGACTTAATTGTTAGATAAAGTTTTTTTTTCTTAACTGGCTTGTGCATTAACATAGATCAATTGGTGACGATTCACTTGCTTGAGATAATCTTAAATGATATTTTTCACAGAAGACGTGCAAAAAATCAAAAAAGCAACAAAAATTGTAGCATAGAAATGAAAAGTTCTTGGATTGAATGTCAGATTCTTTAAGTATTTTTTTAATTTTTTAATTTTCGAACTAAAAATCGTTTTTATTGAGTGTTACTGAAATTTTCTCTCTTTTACGAAATTTCAAGAAAGCGAAAAAGAACACCTTGGATAATAAAAAATTGTTCAAGTACATTTAAGCGTTAAAATTGTTAAATGAAGAAAATCTCAATTGTTCTTGCCACAATGTTTTTTTTTTCATTCAACTTATGATGATTCAAAGCAATAGTGATGATAAACAAATTTTTTGGAAGTAAAAAAAGTTTAGGGTTTAACAAAAAAAATTCGAGATTTTTTCATACGTTTCACGATGTAAACTGAGTACTATTATTTTTGTTGGGAATAGAAAAGCTGAAAAAAGAAGTAATTTTTTTAATTTAGTGAATAACTCGTTTATATTTTTAGACGCTTAATAGTATAAGATTTTTGAGAAATATTATGGAATAATATGTTTATTAATTATTTCATTGAAAATTCTGAGCTCTATTTTGGATACAAATTTATAGAGATCACAACATTTAGTGAAAAAAATATTGGACTCATGCTTAGTTAGCATAAATTAGAAAAAAACAATTTAATATGTCAGATAAAAAGTATTATATCTGTTAAGAAGATTTTGTATGCTACACCGCTGAAACATTACATGACTTGCAAAATGAGTTGATAGCAGTCTTATATTAACAGATAGGACTATCTTATTTTTCTGATGAGTTTCCATTCTCTCTTTCTCTCTCATATTTATGACCCAATTATATTTAGTTAGAAATTGATTTTAAGTCAATTTAATTTACAGTTGATAAGATAATACCCATGGATCAATCAAAAATTATGCAAAACAAATAATATCTGAGCTGCTATTTTGTATGCCATTAATACAGAAATTCAATTACAGCCTTTTTGTATGTCACATGAAGCAATATTTGAGCAGTGATCATTCAAGTGGTAATGAAACAATTGTTTTAGGCTTCAAACACGAGTATGTTAATTGATAAATTACTTTCAATATTTTTGATCCACTCTATTATTAATGAACTCGATACTTTTCACACTATTACTGTAGTAACCATTACCTCGTGATGAAAAAACCAATTTTATTATTATATTTTAATTAATTAATTACTCTTAACAATACTTTATTATTTCAATGAACACGAATTAACTATGAATTAATAAACAAAGAAAAATAATAGACATTGAAAATATTCCTTACAAAATTATTATTGGATTGGATGTTAATATCTTTGAAAACCAAAATAAACTTTACAACAGTGTCTAATCAATTCTACCATTTGATAAAAAATATTTCTTTTAATTTACTCAATGATAACATTCAATTATAATTAATTATATTCATTCAGAGAAATTACAATACAGTACCCATCATAACATTAGTTTTTAAGCTCATAAATGGAAAATGAAAATAGTGACATGATAAATTAACAAGTTGAATCACAAATTAATAGTGTTATTATTGTTATTATTATTATTATTATTATTATTATTATTATTATTATTATTATTATTATTATTATTATTATTATTATTATTATTATTATTATTATTATTATTATTATCACTGACACTATTTAATGCTAATCAAGTTTAGTTGAAAATGGCTGTTGAGTGTTATTTTCACGAAAATGTTTTTATTCATTGATTCATACATTTAATGACATGAACAACATTGAAAGTAACCTAAAATAAATTAGAAAACAAAATATTAATGAATTAATACAATTAATTGATAGTCAACTCACCTTATTTACTCTGTTGTGTTAATAATTAATATTTAGATTGCATGATCAAGTTGAGACATAACTTGTAAATTCACTACAAATGATTTTCTTGGTTGTACTTTGGTTAGGTTATATTGATGATCTTTTGAGTTTTGTTAAAAAATGAAAACAATTTGACTTCACTAATGAATTCATAGACGTTTTTATGTGAATGCATAGATTTTGCCGTAGAAAATAATATAAAAGAAAATGTAACCTTGAAATAAATATAAAATAAATACAAAATTATCGACAGTACTACTCACAGCACTGTCGTAACAAAAGTGAGCTACCATATAGAAGTAAATGAGACGGAACTCAGCTGGCGATAATACAAATGTCAGCCTTTGCTTTCTGATTTATTGTGTGCGTGTTTCAAGCATGATATGATATGAAGATTACATAGCATTGCTACTATACAGCATGCGGATTTGTGTGAATAGTTCAGATCTAATGACCTTGTTCGTGATTCATAACTTACTAAAGATGCTTGTGGTGATAACCAGTATGAAATATAATGAATTTACTTACAACTAGAAATATATCATGAACAACAGATAATGATTAACTTTTTTTCAATTTTTAATTTATTATTATCAAATAGAGTAAAGTAATTCACTTATTTTTATAAGAAGTAGAGTAAAAATATTATATTACATATTTTAAATATGCATCTGTACAAATAGATAATTCAAAAAATACTGATAAATTGAGCACATGGGTCTTGATAAATAAATTATTTTATTTGGTGATTTAATTTCTCTCGTTCTGCTTATAATCGTATGCTTGTTTTGCAATGCGAGTGAGCTGTTCAGTCATAGCACGACCGGTTTCTTTGACGAGTGAGGTAAATGGCCAAAGTCATTTTTAAGCAGGATGTAGGGATGATCGAACTCGACCATTCGTCCCTTCTCCATCACCAGGACTTTGTCACTGTCCATGATGGTGTTGAGTCGATGTGCGACAGTAAGTACAGTGCAGTTGGCAAACTTTTTACGAATGGTACGTTGGATGAGACCATCAGTGTGAGGATCGACATTAGCTGTGGCTTCATCAAGCATAAGAATTTTGTTGTTTCGAAGAATAGCTCGAGCAAGACAGACCAGCTGTCTTTGGCCGGCACTAAGTTTGTACCACGATCAAATACCCGTGACTCTAAACCATTAGATCCAGTGAAAGCCTCCTTCAGCTCGACTTCTTCTAAAGCTGCCCCAGAGCAGAGAATCTTGGAATTCGTTGAACGGATCCAAATTCTTCCTCAGGGTTCCAGAGAACAGAACAGGGTCCTGAGGTATAATAGAGATTTTTTTACGCAACTCTTCTAAATAAATAGATCCAGTATCCACTCCATCGATGTCAATGACTCCTTCGACCTTGGCCAAACGAAACAGAGCAGAGATCAATGAAGATTTACCGGCACCTGTTCTCCCAACAATCCCGACCTTCTCTCTAGGTTTAATCACCAATTCAAGTCCTTTAAGTACCGGTTGCTCTTCCTCGGAATAACGCATGAATACATTCTGGAACTTGATGCATCCCTCTGTTGGCCAATTTTCTGGTGCATGTACTGTTTTTGACGTCACTTGTAACCCTTTTTTTTTATCCTTCTTGGTCGGTTTATCTTCTGCAATATTCTCCTCAGGCGGTAAAAGTGAATACTCTAAAACTCGCTCTACCGACATCAGTCTGATTCGTTACTTCAGCACTTTGACGCATTCCCCATTGAATTATCCCGGTCAACGACATTATTGTTGTTATAGCAAGACCTACTTCAGCTCCAGATATTCCGAAGTCAAACAAAAGAAAGCTGAACGTAATAACTGTTATAAATAAAAAACAAAAAACGTCTAGAGAAAATCCGAAAGCTATACTTGTTGCTACAAACTATGAACCATGATGAAGTATGAACGTCTTGAAATTTATCAAACTCGAATTTCAATATCTGCTGAGCTCCATAAGCTCGGATAGTTGTTAGTCCATTTATCGATGCATTTAAATGAGTAAATACTGGTGATCTCATCATTCCTTCGAGTCTCTTGATATTTTTACTAGTTTTTAAATAAACCTTTCTAATCCAGTAAAATATAAACGCAATCACAAATAGTGGAATTAGAAAGAACAGATTTATAACACAACACATGACTAATGATCCGCACATCATCAAAATTATTTGCCCAGCATCGAGAAGAGCTTTCGGAAGTAATTCATCAATAGCTCCCCATGTCTTTAGAGAATCTATTTAATATTCTTCCACTAGGATTCGTATCAAAAAATCGCATACTCGTTCTTATAAGAGCTCCAAAGGATCGGTCATGAAGGCTTTGACTGTTGCGAACACACAAAACGTAAAAAACAAAGATCTGGTGATTCCAACAATAAAGATTGATAAAACCAGTCCAGTGTAGATGTAGATATAGAGAATAGCTGGGGTGATGTCAGTAATTTTGTATAAACGATGGAGAAGAGTGACAGTTTTTGGAAAACAATAAAGTCTTTGTTACGAGACTCTTCTTCGTTCACGAGAATCGGAACGAAAAAATCACTAGCACTGGCTAAAAACTGAGTTAATACAGAAGAAGATAGCAACAGTAATAACAAAACACCCAGTTGCCTCCAGATGTGAAGTATTTGATAAAAATCGATCCTTGAATAACTCCTCTTGACGTTCGCTTCCAGATTGTCGTTTTCAACATTCTTTTCGTCGTCATCTTCAGCATCAGTATCAGCACCACTAGGATCAGGAGTTCTACTGCGATTACTTAAACTAGACCACTGTCGACGCATACTGCTTTTTTCGGAGAAAGATTCATCGGTATCTTGTGATGAGTCAGAGGCTAGAAGAGTAGCATACTCTGGACATTGAGCGAGAAGGTCGACGTAGTTGGAGAACATTTTGGAGGATCCATGTTCAAGTAGGATAATGCCGTCGACGTCTTTAATGTACTGGAGCTGATGAGTAGCGAGGATTCTTGTTTTTCCTGATAAATATCTCTCTAGACATTCTTCAAATAGATGCTTGCCCACGTGAGTGTCAACAGCACTCAGTGGGTCATCTAAGATATAGAGATCTGCTTGACGATATACAGCACGAGCTAAATTGATTCTTGCTTTCTGTCCTCCTGACAATGAGCTTCCTCTTTCTCCGACTATTGTCTGGTCGCCTTGGGGGAATTGTTTGAAGTCACTCAGTAGTGCACAAACTTTGACGACTTTTTGGTAGCGTTGGCGGTCGTACGGTTGTCCGAAGATAATATTTTGCCGAACGGTCGAGCCAAAAACCCAAGCTTCTTGAGCAGCATAACTCAGCCCACCACGCACTTCTATGCTTCCTTCTGCTAGTGGAAGTTCACCAAGAATTGCAGAAATAAGTGAACTCTTGCCAGCTCCTACTGCTCCAATCACGACATACAGTTTTCCTCGTTCCAGCTTGATGGTAACTTTATTTAGAGTATTTTCTTGACTACTTGGCTCCCATTTTGCTGTCGCGTTTATAATCCTCACAGCCCAGTTATCACCATCTGGCTTATGATTCGCTACATGATTTATTGAGTTTACCAGATCCACTGCTGTTGTTACATTTTCATTCGGTTTTGCCTTTTCTATAACATCAGCATTATCATCATCAATGTACGGAATTTCTGATTTTAAGCGTTTCTCTTCTGGATTTGATTCATCAATAACTGATGATCTGTCAGGATAAGTCAATTTATTTAATTGACCAACTTCATCATACATCAAAAAATACTGTAAACGTCTCACTGCTACAATACACTCGGCAATTTCAGCCACACCACGAACGAACATTGCTGACATTGTATGGGCAAGAATATTAAAAAAGGAAGAGAATACAAATGCTTTTTCGGCAGTTATTTGTTGACTAAAAAACATCATTCCTACAAGTGTACAATAGATAGCTGCTCTTGTTGTAAATAAATTAAAAGTCATGAAAATTCCACGTATCCAAGAGAACTTTTGTACTACTTTAAGTTCCAATTTCCTAGCTAATGCTACCATAACACAGAAAGGCTTTTCCCAAGCATACATCTTAATTACTTGAACTCCTGATATTATTTCATCCA